TATAAAATTTATTATCTACGCACTCCATAAATTCTCCAATGCTTTGACAAAATTTACAAAAAAATATCTTCATTCAAAAAATTCTCGAAAAAATTGATCATTCACAAAATTTGCTAAATTTCATCATGAGATATATATATATATATATTACAAATTACATCTATGATTTAAAGGATTAATTATGAGTATTTTATTATTATAGATTATTATTTTATTTATTATTTTATGATTATTTAAATAAAATTTTCATCTATAAAATTGATCTTAGGATTATCCTAACTCTTTAATGAAATCCGAAAAGTCATTTTTTCTTGGTAATAATTCTTCTAATTTTCTTTAAAAATTTTGTTTCTACTTGATTTATTAAAAAAACACTTTTTTATTTTTTGTTATTATTTTTATTATTATTTATTTTTAGATTATTAAATAAACTTTTATTTAGTAAAAGTAATTTTTAAATTATTCTAACTCTATGGTGAAATCCAAAAAAATATTTTTATTTGCAATAATTAAAGAAAATTGAACTTTTCAGTCTTCCTTAAATATTACATTTTAAAAGATTTATTTAAATAATCCAATTATTTTTAATTCATCTATTATTTATAAAATTTTTATTCTTAGAAAAAAATTAAAAAATAATTTCTTTATTTATCCCAACACTTGGGTGAAATTCAAGAAATATTTTTCACCTATAAAAATTAAGGAAAAAAAAAAGTAAACCTTTACAATTTTCTTTAATACTTATTTTAATTTTTTTTTATTGTAGTAAAAAATTACTATATATTTTTTATTTTATATTTTTATTAAAATTATTACTTATAATAATCATTTATTTTTGTTTATTTTTAAAAATAATTACAAAAATTAATAATAAAAAGAACAACAAAAAAATCAAATCAAATAAAAAAAATGAAAAAAAAAAACTTACAAATGGGTCAAGTTGAAGCACGGGTTAAGGATGCCTAAACAGCCTATTTTTTTAATGGCCTATAAAAGGCCTAAATCTTTTTTTCTCTCTCTCTTTCTTTTCCCTCAAGCTCTTTCTCCAAAATTTTTTCCTTTTGTTGACCGTCATGTGAATCCAATTTTTGGTTGGTCAATGTCACATTGTTGCCAGAAACTTCAATTGGTGCCAAAAAATTTAAAATTTTTCTAAATTTTGACCATTTTCTAAATTTCGATAGTAAAAAAATTCAAACAATCATCGGATCAAAGTTTTTCATATTCTGACAACCTAAAAAATCTAAAAAAATTACCAAATAATCTTTTCAGCCTTCTAACCCAATTCCTCAACTAGTTTTTCCCAAAAGAAATTTTGAAATAGTCTAGATTAGTATTTTGTTTCTGGTTTGAATTTAGCTATTACTGATTCCCCAAAAGAGGATGTGTTAGATTTTTTTGTTGATTTTTTTTTTGTCTTTGTAGGTTTGTGATTTGGGAAGATCTAGGCAGTGGTAATGGAGTTAGGTAAATTTTTTTTTCTTTTTTGCATAATGGCAATGTGATTTTTTTGTTAATTCCTATCTGTTTGTGTTTTCTATGAATTGGCTCTCAACTTCTAGAGCCAATTTGTCAATTATATCATAAATTTGAAAGGATTGTTGAATGATTTTGAGATTACTTGAAATTTTGCTATAAAGTTTTGAGGATGGCAATGGTAGGTGGTATTTGATGCATCGAATGTACATAGACTTTGGGAAAGAAAGAAAGAAAGAAGAAAGAAGAAAGAAGAAACAAAGAAAAAAAAAGACAAAAGATAAAAGAAATAATAATAATAATAATATAATAATAATAAATGAAAATAAATAAAATTTAAAGATTTAATAAAATTTAAAATGACCCACTATGAAATTAATCCAATAAACTCAACTAAAAGGCTTGAATAAACTCGAATAGAGGTGGCAAAGCTTATTTGAGTATAAAAATTTACTCAAACTTTGTAACAAAACTCGAATCAACTTGAATTGATAAAAAAAAAAAAAGTCAAAGACCAAAACCTAAAAAAATTTGATCTGAAAAATTTGAACCCAAAAAAATTCAAATAAAAAAAATCTAAATCCAAAAAAGTTCAAAACCGATATAAGTCGAGTGCATCATAGCCCAAATCCACAATAATCCAAATTCGAGATTGATTCGATATAAAACTCATAAAAAAACCAAATCATAACCCAAGAAAACTAAAACTATAATTATACGATTTTTTAAATAAATAAGAAATAAATATTTTTCTTAACTAAAAATTTTAAATTTTAAAAATGTTATTATTAATAATTAATAAATAATTATATCAATAATAATCAACAAAAATAATGTTAAATTTTTAATTTGATTATAAAATAATTTTAATTTGAAACACACTAAATATTAATATCAAATGATTTTTGATACTATGATCTCATTATATTTACATTAATTATCAATATAAAAGAAAAAAATTATACCATTAATTTAACATTTAATTTCATTATAAAATAATCATATACAATATATTATTGATTCATTATACTTATTTCATATAATTTAATTTTAATTTTAATATATTGATCATTTAAATATAAAAAAAATCATATCATAATTTTAATATTTGATTTAATTTAATGTTTTGATAAAAATATTAATACCATTATTAATAAAAAATTATGTTGAAATTATAATTTTTTTATTGTTTCAAAGATATTATATTAAAGTATTAATTTTATGTGAAAATAAAAAACATTATCTTATAAATTAAAATATATTATTTTAAAATTAAAAAAAAAGTTAAATTATTAAATTAAACAATACAATATCCAAATAAATATAATAAAATAAAAGATATTCTTCGATTCCTAAAATCAAGTAACCAGAGTTTTCAAATTCCTAAGAATAATGTATTATCATCAAAATCAAATCACCGAACATTTAAAATTTGAACATGCAAATTACAATCAAAGCAGCACAATTATTGTTAATAAAAAATCTCAACTTTTTGTCAACAAAAAATATATAAAGTAAAATATCAACATACATTGTTATCAAAAACTCTTAATTCTCTTTCATAAGACAACTAATTCAATATTACTACAATCCTCCCCAATTCCAATACATCATCTTCTTCTTCATCTAGTAACATATATAAAAATAATCATGTAGTCATTAAAAAAAATTTTAATAAAAATATAATCATTGCCAATAAAATCTTACTATCTTGATTTATTGTCGCCTCATATTCATACAATCAATTACGAGTGGTAATTAATATTTCCGCATTGTGAAGCCCTAGGATAATTTCTACATTACAAGTGCTGATGAAAGTAGATTTAAGGAAGAAAAAGCTTGGGGTGCACTATTGGCTTTAGAAATATCATATTAGGGTTTACTCAATTTTTAGGCATTTTGAATTTTTATTTGTGGAAATTAGAATTGTGAAATTTGTATTTTTCAATTGCTTGGAGACTAAGGGTTTTTTTCATATGCCGCCAGTTCTTTTAGTTAATTTTTTATAATTTTAAATTTTTATTTTAATATTAGATAAAAAAAATTTAATTTAATTGATTTATTAATAACTATTAAAATTAAAATTAAAGTGACAATAGAATTAATTATTATTTATAGGAAATTAAAGTATAACTTAAAAGTTTACTAGACTAGTAATAATTTTAAAACAATTAATATTTATACTTTATTGATATTAAAGTTAATTATATTTAAATAATTACATTTGTTGACTCTAGATTATTAGTATTATATTAATTAAATTAATAATATCTTCTATTCAGTATTCTAATTGAATATTTGGTCCATTGGTATACATTCAATATTATTATATTTATGTAAATGTTAATGTCAAAATAATATTCTTTTTAATAATTTCTATTATTCAATTATGTGATATTTGAATATTTTAACTTTATTTGAATTTGTACGATGAATTAAAAAATTATGGATAATATTTAAAAACAAAATTAATATAATATATATAAATATGTTATTTTTAAAATTTTAACATTAACATTTTTGTAATACTTTTATTTAATTATATAAAAAATAAAATTAATCCTTAATTTGAAATTACAAAAATATGTTTATAGCTTATAAAATTTAGAAATTTTTTCAAATTCATCTAAACAATAAGCCTGTCCAACTTGGATTGAACAAAATCCAAAATAATCTGAATATGAAATAACTCATATCCAAGATGATCCAAATTAAAAATTATCTAAATCCAAAATTATTCAAATCCAAAATTATCCAAATCTTAAAAAGCATAAATCCAAAAATATCTAAATCCCATACGATCCAAGCCCGAAATGAATCCTAACCCAAAAAATCTGAATTTGAAAACAGCTCAATCTGAAACCATCTGAACTGGTCTGTTTGCCTCTTGTAGACTCGAATGAAATCGAAAATTGATTCAAATTTATTTTAACACGATATTCGATTTTTTTGGATAAAATAAGTGTCTGCACCTAATTCAGGTCTCCTTAGGAGCTTCAATGAACGTAAACATAATGAAAATGTATCTTATATGTTTCAGTTTCAGCAGAAACAAAAAAATACACTAGGCCATAATTGGGATTTTTTTTCTTCTTATCATCAGAGTACCAAAAGCTTGCAAGATGGACTCTGAAAGGTACTAAAGGAGCATTTGAACAAACAAAATGCATATCATCTTTGATTTGTTCAAGCTACAAAACATATTAAAGCAAGTTTAGCAAAAAACAGCCAAATGTAAGTCCCACTTGTAAGATGCCAACTTAAATAAAAGTACGTCATTAAGGGTTGGCTCAATAAGTTAAGGTTTTGGACCTAGATGCAAAGCACCAAAGTTTGAACCCCCCAAAATCCTCTATTTGGCAAATGATCTATAAGTTCGAAAAGTCCCAAAAGATCTGTAAATTCTATTATGAGTTGGCAGCTTAATCTGACTTTGGAGATGTGATAACCTACCTTGCTCCTAAATTTATATGGACAAAAAAAGACTTAAATAAAAGTACAAAATAGCAGCAATTAACAAGAAATTAACAAAAGGAGACAACTTGCATTATCAAGCTCGATCAGTCACATTCATGCTTATAAAGTGTAATTTCACAGATCCCCAGGCTCAACATAATTGTCTTCAAAAGGAAAGAGGAAATATCTGGAAGATCAATGACTAAAAGTCTAAAGACATATTCTCTACCGAATTTAGTATATAAGGATTCTCAACTTGGATCAACAAGAGACTGTACACAGTTGGGGAAGTTCATTGCAAGCAGTGATCAAAGGCTTTTTCATCAAGCTTTGACAAAAATATGTGCTGGAATTTATACATAAATAACCATACGGATGCCTTGTGATTTACATCTACAACTACCTTGCCAACTCTTAGCTTCTACAAAGAACTGTTGTTCATATTTTATGGCTACACTAGTAACAATAAGATATGAAGTAATAGCACTAACCTTGTACGACAGTAAATTTCGGAAAATAAGAGCCAACACAGAGAACAACCTTTTCAAAATTTCCACTCACCTGGCATAAATTTGAGATAGGTGAAATCTCCAGTTTCTGCCCCCGAAGGATCATTCACCCCAGTTTCTGGCTCTCAAGGGTATTACCTTTCACCCCATTTGAAAAACAAGGGTTCTAGAAGCCGGCAAGTCCTAGGTTCAATAAATTCCAACTTGCATACTATATAGAAACACTGAACTCTGACATCACGGTGCATCAGTACTGTTGCTGTAAACCAGGGGCTCTCATCTTTCTGCTTGGTTGATAAGTGATAACAATGACACATTATCACTTAAAAACTTAGAATCAAGTCAACTCCACTTAGTATTCCACTTATCACTGACCTAAGTTCTCCTGTTTTTGCTCTTTTTCAAAAGCAATGATGCATGGTCAATATCTCTGGAAGATGAATAGTCTTCACCCCTCAACCACAGAAGAGCCTGAGCAGCTGCATCCTTCTCTGCAAGTTTTTTGCTGCTGCGAGGCTGCCCCATAAAATCCAGCCCATTAAAGATCACAGTGGATCGGAACTGGTTGTTCTTTAGCTGTTTTGTCTTGTAGATGGGTGCTCCATGTCCAGCCCTGGCAAGCACTGTTTGCAGCTGACTCTTTGAATTATCAGCCCCGCCTGTACCTGGTGTTTTCACTATAGCTGTCTTCTTTGATGATACTGGCACCTGACGGCCAAAGACAAATCTGCCCTCACATTGGTCTTCTGAGACCAGCAATCTTACTGCTGAGAGGAGCTCATTGCTTGATTGCATATCTAATCTAGGGTTCAAAAGCTGCCAACAAGCACCCACATAAATTATGAATGCATGACAATGCTATCTTTTGGCAGAGAATTGAAGAGAATGGCATACACCAAGAAGAGAAACTGGGATTTGTAAAGTAGGAAATTTGATTGCAGGTGAAAATGAAACCAAAAATTAAAGTAGCTCTGGAGATTTGATCAAACATTGGACCTATAAAACATAGTTGATACTTACTTTCTTCTGAATTAGTTCCTCGAGCTCTCTTTTCAAGCTTAAATATGTATCAGCTAAATCAGGTTTCATGAAGAACTCCAAATATCCTCCCAACATTTTTAGATGTCCATCCTATCAACACCCATGAAAAGATTCAACATAAATCCTATGGCAAAATAAAACCGAATTAAGTGAAGCAAAGCATCTTCTATCAAGAAGAAATGGAGCAACTGCAAATGATAACAATTAAATTAACTTACTAGTCCACTTCTTGAAATGTTCCCTCCAAATAAGAGCAGCACAGAATCAGAAACACCCGTTGAATCGCGGAGGAATACTGCATTCACTTTTACCTTTTCATTGAAAACCAGCCATGGGTATGGAATTTTGGGAACTCCAGCATTCACTGAATTCTACTTTATGCAGACAATAAAGTTGAAAATCGAAAAATAAATAAATAAGAAAATTGGAACTTAGCACTTGGATGAACTGGTATTTCCATGCAAATGGGGTTACCTGAAACAATGAATTATAAGAAAACCAAATAGTAGAAAGCAAATTACCAAGTGTAGAAGAACTTGACCATCCTCCATTGTTTTCAGTGCAATTGACTTCTCTTTGTTCTGTGGATCGCAATTGCATAAGTGCATACTTCATAAAAAAACATACATAATCCTAAAAGATGGATAAAGTTTAAGACATTGACCAGGCAAATAATTCTTTGGTAAATAAATGTACTCCTTTATCATCCTTACCTATTAGAACATCATGTTAGATGAGAAATATGTGTAAACAAGGACCGAGATGCATAAATAAGTGCACATGAAATGAGAGCCAACAGAGACCCACCCACACATGCATTAAGAAACATTAACATAAAAGTTAAATACAGAGAGAAATTCTGATTAGGAATAAAAGAAACCATTTTCTTATAACAAAATAATAAAATAAACTGAACAAATATTTAAGGGAAATGCTACTAAACTCACCACAACAGAGCATATCCCTGGAAATAAGCCAGCACAAATGACTGCTTGGATGAGATGCTCATCATGGCTCCATTTGTTGCAGTTTTCTATATTTTGATCAACTAGACCAGTAGCCTTGAGCAAATAGAAAAACTGCTTTCGTAGAGAGTCAATGGCCTTGAGAGTTTGTGCAGAAAGAAAATTCTTCCAACAATACTCATAACCAGACTGCTCTCTTTCAGCTTCTTTCCAACCCTCGTAGGCTCGGATAAGTGCAATATGATCACTGTACTCCTGGCCTGAGAATTGGGCTTTTGCCGATTCAGCAAGCTGCAACAGTGAGCAAGAAAGATTAAAAGGTCACTCAATAAATATCAAAATCATAAATCCTCGTAAGCCCTGAAGTAAAAAAATTCCAATTATGCATCATTAAAGCCAGAAAAAAGCTAGGAGATTCTTACTTTCTTATATTGGGAATAGGGGAATTTGAACCCAGCTCTTTGAGCAAGGGGAGGCATGCACCAACCTTTAAGCCAAATACTCGGGTACAGTTTCTTACATTATTAATGCCAAAAAATTCTAAGAAAAACTTCCGTAAGTAATCTAATTCTGCCATGCACTTGTGGCAAATAATGTGAAATGCAAAATGAGATGTTAACCAAATAGAAAAGATGCGGATGGGTCTTAAACCCAATAAAGGATTCCATGTAGCTAGCAGCAAAACATGCCTAAAATTAAAAGAGTACATATATGGAATGACGAACTCAAGAAATTATTCTTTTTTTTCTTTTTGAATAAACAAAATTCTTCTGTAACTAAACAGCAAGATTTAATAGTAAAAAGTACAGATAATGTCTAATTTTGTTGTTGAACTCTATCCAAAACTGTAATTCACCCCTCCAATTTTTATTGCAGTCAATTGAATATCTATACTTTTATTTCTATGCTTAAACTTTGATGACAAGTGCAATGTACTCCATGAAATATAAGACCTCTAACTCTGTTCTTTCTGCCTTGCTGGCAGCCCACATTGAATTTTATAAAAATGAAAAGAAAAAAATTAATATTATAAAAATATTTTGTGGCAAAATGTTCATTTTTTTTTCCCTCTTGCCTAAGAAGGATCTAACGAAATTATAAAAAAATCCAGAAACTATTTCAAATAGAGGGGAAAAAGATGACAGCTAAAAACACTTGAAACAACAAAGAATAAAAACTAAAAAATCTTAAAAGCTAAAAAAACAGAAGACTTTAACGAAAATAAAAATGGTTCAAAAGAAATTGGTTCAGCTTGCTATTGCAAGCTTCTTAGCTGAAAGAAGGGAAACCATATTCTTTTTTTTTTTTTTATTTTTTGAAGAAGGAACCATTTATTTATATCCTGTCTGTGTGGACATTTTGAACTATTCAGCATAATTTAACTCAATATTTTGCTAACGAAGCAAGTTAACAGAATATTCCATATTCTGTTAATGTTTGATTAACAAAATTTAAAGTTTGCAGCCTTAATTGTACACAGTAAAAGTTGGAGGGGTGAATTACAGCTGTGGATAAAGTTCAAGGGCAAAATCAGCTATAACCCCTAAAAGTACAACCTAAATCGATGGAAGAATTCAATATAAGAGAGGATATACTTTTTCTAAAAATAAAAAGTAATTAAAAAATGAAGGACAAAGCCTAAGTTATATTATGAAATCATTTAAACCAATAACATCTGAATTCGTTATGCATATACTTCAGCAGTTAAGGTTAACACAATTAATGTTTCCTTTTTAAGTTTGAACCTATGACCTACCTTAACCCTAACCCAATGTGAAAGTTAATACCAACTGGAAGTCAAAGGGAGAGAAAAATACAGCCCAGAAAGTCATCAATTTTTAAGGTATACTAAAGAATTTTAAAATGTGGAAGAAGGAAACAAAGAGAAAAAGAACAAATACGTTCATCTTTAAAGAACATAGGAACACATTGCAATGAAATGCAAAAATTGAAGATGCTGGAAAAAGATTCATATTAAAATTTACATTAAAAAAAAAAAAGGGAACTGATGCTAGAAACAAAACAACAAACTTACATAAAGATGCTGTAAAAAGATTCATATTATAATTCACTCTCAAAAAAATTATGCTAGAAACATGAAGACAAACTTACATCTTTCTTGTCAAATGGCATCAGGAATGGATCTCTGACACTGAGCCCAGCAACAACAGTCGTTATTGGATCTAAACAGCTGAAAATAGCCCCCAGTATCAGCATTTTCCCAAGTTTAGGCTCAACCGGAAGCATTGACAAGTTGTGTCCTGCAAGGTCACAACCCATGATTCATAGTTCCTCTTTTGTCAAAGAAATTTATATCCATATTTGAAAACCATAGTTCCTTTAAAATAAGTAATTCTCATACAGCCATACCTAGCACTGTTAAGTTCTCATTCTCATCTAAAGCTCCAATAATCTTCAGATATTCAACAGCATTTTGCACCTATAAACAAACAAAAAGTATAAAACCAATATGTACAATATCAAATGGATAATACCAGCAGTAGAAGTAATGAAAAATTACCGACAGAAGTTCTGGGGGCTGCAATGCCCTAGAAAGGAACTCAGTGATACCTCCAAGCTCTAGACTTTTGATTTGCAAACATAAAGACTGTAACGGTGTCCTTAAAAGCTCTGGAAGTTGGTAATCAGCAAAAGTATCATAAACACATTTGGGATAAAGATGGTAACACTCGCCAGGTTGAACACGACCAGCTCTTCCCCTTCTCTAAAGAACAAAAAATGAAACTAGCATGACCAGTCTAGATAATGAAGTCAAACTTCCAATAGAACAGTAAAATTAAAGGGGTAAAAGAAACCAATAAGTAGCAGCAAACATTCTCATGACATAACATTGTTAATGGTCTACATCAGGTTGCAAGATCTAGGCACATCAGGTTGCAAGATCTAGGCACAAATAGAATACTGATTCTATAGAAAGGTTATAAATTCCACCAGACTGCATGTAAGTTGGTAAAAATAGTTCCTAAAAATTACCATAAATTCTATTTTCGTAGTGTATCTGCCTAAATCACCTAAATCAGCAAAAAGGCCGTGTACTTCCATGTTCTAAACAATGATTTTCACAGGTAGTTAAAACTGATGCTATAAAAGATTAGACATTCCCCCAGAGTGCATGTAAGTTGATAAAATAGTTCCTAAGGAAATTACCATAAATTTTATTTTCATAGCGTATGTGCCTAAATCACCTAAATCAGAAAAAAGGCCATGCACTCCCATGTTCTGAACCATGATTTCACTGGTTTTGAAAATTGATGGTATAAAAGGTTATAAATTCCCCCAGACTGCATATAAGTTGATAAAAAGTTCCTAAGAAAATTACCATAAATTCTATTTTCATTGCGTATCTGCCTAAATCACCTAAATCAGCAAAAAAGCCATGTACTTCCATGTTCTGAACCATGATTTTCACTGGTATTGAAAACATTGGACCACTAAAAATAAAAGCAAAGAGAGTTTTCTTCAAGCACATGGAGATTGCAATTTGAGAAAAACAAAGGTTTTTTTCTTTATCTTTTAGGTTTTCTAAAAGGTAAAAACAATAAAATCTTAAGAAATCTCATTTGAGTGCAGCAATTTGTATCTACTACAAAGAGCAGAAAATTGGAAACTATCAGAAGTAAATCCAATATTGCAGATACATATAGTAATCCAACTTCAGATGTAGATCCATAATTGCAGATACAGTAATAAATAACTATCAGAAGTCTTACTTGGCGGGCAGCAGCCTTTGATATCCAAGATGGAAGCAAACAAGGTGTATTATTTAGTGCATCATAGGAAGTTTCTTTTGCCTTTCCACAATCAACCACAAAAACCACGTCATTGATGGTGATGCTAGTCTCAGCCATATTAGTAGCTAGAACTATTTTCCTCACTCCATCTTCAGGCTTCTCAAATATTAACCTCTGTATGCCAAGAAACATGAAAGAGAAAATTGTAAATGAAGAAGAAAAGGAAGCCAAACAACCCAATGAGAAGTTAACAAAATCATCGTTCCTTCTCCAAGAGCAAGACATAATAACTAGAAGTAACTTTAATGAAACCATGGCTGTCCCTTTAAGAAAGGAAAATATAACAAAAAGATAAGAATATTCAAAGCAAAACTTGACTACTACATGAAAAGCTAAATAAGTAAATTTATGGAAGGAGAGGAGAGTTAAGAAACAGAAGAGCACTTAATGATTACCACCATTCTCTCTCCAACCAACCAAAGAAGAGATTATAACAAGATGTAACTTCAATAAAACCATTGTGTCCTTTTAGGAAAAGAAATTACAACAAAAACATAAGAATATTTCAAAATAAAAATTAATAAAGAACAATTGACTCCTTCCACATGAAAAACTAGATATGTAAATATAGAGACTTGATAGGAAAGAAATGCATGAAATTGAACAATAGTTTAAGACATAAATTTCAGTTGGCAGTAAATGACTATTGACCAGTTAAATCCTTCATAACCAGATTCATGCAAACGGAGAGTAATTTAACCTCACCATTAAAAACAAGCATCACATCCCATCATTTTTCGGCAATCTACATTTAAGAAATGTCTGACACAATAACAATCAGATTTTCTATACTCAAGAAACCAAGCCTTGAATCCCATTGAGATTTTCCACCTTGGTGCCTCAATTCAGGCTTAAGATGAACAACATTATTATCTCTGCCTCTCTGAGAGTAGAAGAGACATAACTCCTTGCTATTTCATGCTATAAATGACTACTAGAAACATTCTTTTCACCAAAAAATTCTTAAAAATCAAGAAAACAAAACGTGCAATATAAGTACATGCACAGTAGAATCGTCCGCTTGCATCCTTAGCCATGGATAACATCAAGCTCCAGATTGCCACACATGTTTTGCTCTAGCCTTGTAACAAAACCTCAAATACTTTCCAAACCTTAATTAAAACATCTAATTGATTAAAAGGTATCACCATTTTTAGAAAAAGAAAGGAACAAATGAGTTCAATCTATTGGAAAACATCTCTTTATCTTCCCCAAATTACATAGATTAACCATAGTACTAACCATATGCATAAGATAAGCAAGAAAAGTAAAAAGTGCATTCACCTGCTCAGAGCTAGGCATGGAACCATGGCATGCAAGCAACAACACCTTGCTAGGATCCCCAAGGAGAGGATGAGCCTGGAGCTGATCTTTTAGAGAGTTTATGTCATCCCAACCAGTCATGAAAACCAAAACAGCACCAGGCCTCTCTTTCTTTACTATGAGGCAAAGAATATGCTCAATGACATTGAAACCAATTGAGTCAGGATTCCAACAGGATAAAGACTGTCGAGTCCGTAAACTACACCCCCTGAAGTCAGCAATTTCAAGTACATCCTGTCCACAAGTTCAAGGGCAGAGATGAAATTTCCAAAAACAGGCCCCTAAAGTTGACAACGACTTTCACAACCAAAACCATGCTTCTAACACTAGATGACCTCGCAAAATTTTCTATACCTCAACTGCAGAAGTTAGCTGACTCTTCTTCTTTTTAAGATATTGGGCCTGTTTCTGCATTTTCCACATCTTTTCTTGACCATAATCATCAATTTGATTATATGGAGTTAACCTGTACCCAGTCATCTCTAGAATATTCTCCAGAAAATGTGATCGGACAGGATAAGTAAAACCCTGAAAAACAAAATAAATCACAAAACAGACGCCCCCAGCACAAAAACATAAAAGAAAGAGGGAAAAAAAAAGAAATAAAGAAAGAGTTTGGGTGGGAAGACAAAACGAGATTAGTCTAGAGCACCCAGCATTCAAAACATGTTTTCTTTAACTTATCTTTAGCTAAGTGAATAAACACAAGAAAGCCAGCAAAGAGGAAAACCAACCGCTCACTCATATAGGAACAACAAATAAAAAAAGGAAAACCCAAAATCCAACGTCAACAAGCCATATCTTAAAACAGTTCATGCATTTAACTTTTTATTTAATACTAACGAGTTCATGATTCTGAAAACAAGTATTTTAACATGCATGACAAATGAGCACCCCAATGAAGAAAGAATGTAGAAAACTGGTAAACACTTAAGCTACTAGATTTTGGCAACTAAGTTATAACTTTTAAAAATATATAAATAAACCTTATTTTTCACCAAATGATTAACACAGTAATCTTCACTTTTTGTCAGTTTTCTGTTGGACTCAACACCACCATATTCTGTACTCATCGTATGTATGAATTACTTTCTTGTCCGCACAATCATTTGATTCATACAGCATACTTTCAACTAGTCATGCTGAACTATCTTTCCGGGCATTACATCATCCTATCCAACCATTATTCTCCAAAAACAGTGATCAATAATGCTGGTCTATGGTTGTTACTGAACATGAATTATAGCAGCATCAAAGGGAACTCCAATTTTCAAAATTCATTTGGATTCATGCCCAATCATACTTGCATGACTACAAACACAAATGCAAATGATAAAGCAGTTGCTAGTTGAGAGACACCTCTTCTTTACGCAAGAAAAATAAATTTGTTATAATTTAAATCACCCTCATAGCAGATGCTATGGGGAATATTGTGGACGGAGAACGAAACCACCACAAGATATTCAAATAATCAAAAACTTTAGATAAGATATTCAAATAATCATAGCAGAACTTACAGGAATATGGATTGTTGGGGCACCACCATAGTAAGAGGAAAAGAGCTCAGCATTTAAAGTTGCACTCATCAAAATCAATCTCAACTCTGGCCTACGAGGAAGGAGATCTTTCAACACGATAAGAAGAAAATCTGAAAGATATGCAACCGCTGATTAATGTCACATAAAAATATCACTGTAACAGTATAAAACTCAGAACAAGATGCCAACTCACCTTCATTCATTCCACGTTCATGAATCTCATCAACAATAACATGACTTACACCTCTCAAATCCCTGTCAACAAGTAGCCGCCTAAGTAAAATGCCAGTTGTACAAAAAAGAAGGCGGGTGTTTCTTCCTTTCATTCCCTCAAGGCGTACTTTATAACCAACCTTTCAAGAATAATATAACATATTAATTTTAATCAGCAAGACTACTCAAATAAATTCACAAGCATGAGTGAATGACAAAATTGCAGAAACTAACAGATTCTCCCAATTTCTCCCCTCTTTCTGCAGCAACTCTTTCGGAAACAGCCATAGCAGATATTCTCCTAGGCTGAGTACAAATAATATTACAGGAAGCTCCATGAGCAGCTTCAATCTCAGATTCTAATATGTACTGAGGAAGTTGTGTGGTTTTACCACAACCAGTTTCACCAGAGACAACAACCACCTGCAAGATCAGAACACATAGAATCAATAACTTTTCAAAAATGTAGAAAAGAATGTACAAGTTCCTATAGAATATAGAGAACTGCAAAATTTCTTAAAAATATTGGTGACAATGATAGCACGAATGCATTTAAAATCAAAGCCCCTTGTCGACTTAACTTTTAGTCTTATTCCTAAATCCTAAGGTACATCACACCATTTTTTACATCAATATTTTGGAAGTAAAGAGTAAGCAAAATAATGATACAAAATAAAAGGAAGGGAGCTGATCAACACTCTCATGGCAGTCAATCCTATAAATATTTTCTTTTCTAATCTTATTTCCTTGTGTTGAAGGAACATTCAATGCCCACTAGGGGATCAACATGTCAATTTGGAACTTCATATAGATATACCTACAAATATGTTACATAAAATGGTAACAGCAAGAAACAAAACTGAAATATAATGACATTAAATTTCACCTGATTCTGTGAGATAGCATTTAGCAATGCATCCCTTTCTTTATATGCAGGCAGGCTTCTACGAAATTCAAGCATCTTTTTGCCTTCAGGAGATTCCTATAGATGATAGATATTAGCAGACGTTTAAATTATTGAAAGAAGGGGGCAAGCATGCTCATAAAATACATAAGATAGAAACACAGCAAATCTAGGAGAACGAGAAGTCAAGAGACAAAAAGCTATTCCATAAAAAAAAATAAGCCACGCCAAAATTCAACATGCACTGATAGCCGTCTCAAATTGCAAAGTTCAATACTAGGAACCAGAAGCCTTCCATAACAGCAAATACAACAATTTAGCAATTAAAATGCACTTGGAGCATATATTCTCTGTCTATTTCCAAATTTACTTACACCTAAATGTTCCAAATCCTAATAAAGCAAAAGAAGTGGGCAAGGAAAGTATAAAAATCAATGCAACACAAGCAGGAAATGACACCACAAACAGAATGTGAGATGCAACACATACTGATGCAGGAAAATCGTCACATATATTTTAAATAAATATCTTAATAACAAAAATTGTACTTAATGCCAGATAGTACCTAGGATCACTGTGCATAACAAAAAGAAATCACAAAAACAAACCTGCCATTCTTGTTGCTTATTACGGAGTTGCAAACTTCTCCGCCGAAGAATCCTCTCCATGACAACACTATTCTGTGTAAAGGACTCTTGATGCTCAATAGGTACTTCATCTGCAGCAATTCTTCCACCACCACTTGATCTCGGCAAAGACTTATCTGAAAAGCTACCATTGCTCATAGCCTTATGAGAAAGGTAAGCTTTGAGGTGAAGGTCTACATCTCTTTGCAGGCCAAAAGGTAAGATTACCTGATAGTAAGGTAAAAACTTTTATGGAAGAGCATGATAGGCTAAAAGATACAACATTTAATAGCACCAAGAACTACTCAGAGACTTTGGTTAGTATTGAACAGAAACTCCCCGTTTTATGCAAAGACCCCATGAATATTGGGCAAGTCTTTAAAGAGCTCAAGTAGAACCAATTCCACTCTCTGTTCATACACACATTCAACTGACAAAAGAACCAAAATTGGCAAACACTGGATAGAAGTACCTCTCTTTGTGGGCGCTTATCATCAAGATCAGATCTATAATTTGGCAGCTGAAGTTTACTAAAAACGACTACTTTTGCATATTGGCGGCTGCTAAGCAGATTATATTTCAGTACTCAGAAGCAATAGCAAAAATTGGGGACAAAGAACAAATAACAAGATACAATATGCATGCAATGGGGGAACTTAAAATACCTATGTAAGCCCATTCTGGTTGCTAGAGCTGAAAGTTGCTCAAAGTCACGCCTGTCCTTTCTCTCCCTAGATACTATCTCTTGCTCATCCTTGTTTCGAAGAAGCATAGTAAATTTCCATCTCCATTCATCAATATTGTCAATGGTTGAAGCACCCTAACCAACATGAACCAACAAAAATATAGCAACCAACCATCAACAGGTAGAAGAAAAAAACTTTCAACTTAATCTTGAAATGCAGCAGCATAGGACTTAAATGAGATTACAAGCTGATATACTAATAAATTAAATTTTGAAGCAATAAAAAATCTAGTGATCTGAAAAAGAGAATATGCATACAGCCCAACCGGCTAAATTCAGGGGAAATTTCAAATAATGTAATTGATCAATATTTTTAAATTTTTCAATGACATCACCTATGGTAACTACTTACAAATTGATAAGGAATGATATTAACCTAGTGACATGACCCCCAAGGTTCTTAGAAGTGGAACACTAATTTGTATATTCACCCATTGATTTTGGCCTATCTTTGACCTACTTCAATTTACTCTCATTCATTAGTCCACACCACCAAGTGTCGCATTTAACAGGTATTAAAATGCCTTCTATAGTCTATCTTTAATAGGCATTTCATCCCCTTCTTTAAACGTATTCATTTCTTATTTTATTGCTTTTAACGTTGCAATAAATTCTCATTTCCATAACTTGTTTAATAAGAAACAGTTTTCTATAAGCGCAGCTCTTCTTATGATTATAAGATTTTTTTTCAACATTGCATGCACCCCCATATCACAACCACTCGAAAAAAACTCTTAACTGAATTTCTCTGCTTCATTGGCATCCTTTTCAATCTCTTCTTCCGTGCAGATAATTGATCAAAGGTAACAAAAATAATAACTCTAGGTCTTCATGATCACCTTTCTCAATTTATTCTCATCTCTACCTCTGGAATTAATTGTTGTTAAATCCTTTGTGTTCTAATGTTAATCCTACCTAATATGAAACCTTTCTACCAAATTATCCTCACAACTCTTTGACTTACTAACCATAATCTTAGCTAGTCTGTCAACACATCATCACCTGCAAATGATACACAGTTATACATATGAAGTTGGATATGTGATAGACAAATATTTATAGTGCAAAAGTTGAAGTGGAGCAATAGCTAACATGCACAAATTGAACACCCAAAAAAGTAAACCATATTGAAAATTTAATGCTCAATCAGGTGATAACTGAGAGAGTATTAAAATTGATATGGAACAGAAGATTAAACCATCAAGGACCAGAACAGCAAGTTTAATTGCTCATAAAAGTTCCTAAACCAGTATATTAAACTACAACTTTCAGCTAATCATTATCATGTTTCCAACACATTTACCAAAAAAAAAAAGGCATTATACCTCTTCGAATGTAATTTATAAGTCCAAAAATAAATTGACAATTAGCAGAACAACAAATCCGTGCTTGAAAATGTGAAAAAAAAAAAAAAAAAAAAGTATGGTAACGTGCTTAGCTATGTTGCCATTTTGAGAACACACTTCTCATTAGCAGCTAAGTTCAAGACAAACTCACTAGTCATTTTGAGAAGAAAGGAAAACAGTCCCAAGTCAGTAAACCAACTATAAAACTGATAATTGACAAGATAAGCCATTGAAAAATCGTTCTTTTTAAATTGCAAAAACCAACACCTTGTAAAGTGATTAAAAAGGGTAACAGAAACTCCTCTCCTCCACTAGCTTAACAGCAGCAAACATAAAGAACAAGAGGGAAAAAAAATGAAAATTTAAGAAAATCTAACAAAAGGGTATCTAAAAAACCAACCATTTGAGACTGTGGAGACCCGAATTCGTGGTCTGAGTCATCACTGGAAACATCCCGGTAAGCATCGGAGCCATAATTAAAGCTTTGCTGCTGCTGCAAACAAGGCAACAAAATGTTCCTCCGATCCAAGGCAAGAGTCCTGGAAGAAGAAGCAGCAGCAGCACCAGACCTAGAGCACGTTACGAGGCCACGCCTCAAATGCAAACGCCGGAAAGAACCAGGGGATTGGGTCGTATAGAGAAAGGAGAAGAAAGAAAGTTTTAAAAGTGTTTTAGGGGTGTTGTTGAGTTGGAGGGAAGTGGGTCTCAGAGACATGGCAGTTGTCCTCAGATAGCCCTGAAATATAGCTGAGTTACAGGACATTTTTTATTTTTAATCTTCGTGGGGTTTCTGGTTTCAGTCTTTTTAACACTGGGATTTGGTTAAATTTGAAGAGGTTAGTTAGGGTTCTTGGTACAGAGCCCTTGAGGTTCGCTTGATAAGATGAGCCTATGGAAATGCTCGGTGGGGTTTGGAGTTGGGGCGGCGTTCTGCGGCTGCTCCCAACTCCTGACTCCTAAGGTTAGGGAATAGGGAATGCTACGAGTTTGTGAACAAATACAAAAATTTGCTGGCAAATTTGTTTAACACGTTTTTCAGGATAATATTTGCCTAGAATGGATCCCACACGGTATTTTTTTTTTAATTTAATTTTAGTTAAAAATTAAAAAAATTCTTAAAATTTGAAAATTATTATAAAAAAATTATATAAAAATTATAAAATATTTCATCAATCCTCTAAATTAATTTTTTATTTAATATCCTTATATATATTTCCTTGAAATTCATTCTTTAAAAAATTTCAATATATCGTTTTATATTCTACATTGACATATAAAAAAAATGTAAGAGGTTTTGTGAGTAAAATAATTTTTTTATTTTAATTATACATATTTTCATTTATTATTAATTATTTATCATATTTCATTTTTATGAATTTTATGACTTTAATTTTATTTGTTTCATTTATTTTTATTTATTCTTTATTAATTTAATAAATTTCATATTGAAATTTTTTATTTTTTTAATATTTTAATAGAATTATAAAAATTTGTTAACCTTAAAAATTTACTTATGACTTTATTTAATTCTAAAATTGAAAATTCCTAAAACTTCATTAATAATTTGATGAATTTTATAAAACGTCACTTTAGATTTTTATTTTAAAAATTTATTTTGTTTTTTTACAAAAAGTTGAATTACTTTTAATAAAATTAGCATGCATTCATTTGGATAAACAATAAAGCTCTAAGGAAGATCTCATCCATAAAAAAATGTTGGATAAATCCTATATTTTTATTGAAAAGTTTTTGAACCACACCAACAAAAATAGATAAAATATTTTTCATGAAAAAGTCATAAATTGAATTTGATTGGGTCTCATTACAACTTTTCGTGCAAATAAAATCTAAATTCAAATATCAAAATTTAAGGCCCAACAAAATCCAAACCATAATAAATTTAACAGCTGTCAACATTTAAATTACTTTAGGATTTTTAATCCATAGAAATATACATTTTATCCTTTATTTTTTTTAAATTGTGTTTGAGCCCTTCAACTTTTATTATTGTTGAATTTAATCCAGATTTTCTTTTTCTTACTTTCAGCCCACAAAAGTTTGAGAAAATGGAATATTTCCTTTAACTCACTGAGTTAACTTACATAACAAAGTAAATAAAAATGTTGGAATATTTTCTAAATGAATATTATTCTTAAAAGATCTTTAGAATATTTTCTAAAAAATTTGTTCAATTTTAGTCAATTTCTAAAATAATATTGATTGGGATAAAATAAGTCTGTTTGGGTAATAAAATTAAGAAAAATATTGAATAGGAAACAATATGCCAGCATGAATAATAAAACTTCAAAAAGTTTTTTTTCCTTTTTCATTGATGGCCTTAGAACTAGGGTGACCAATGGTTTAAAATCATCCGAGGACCATTTGGATCGATAAATTTAGATCAATAAAGGATGGCCATGAGACTTGATGAATCATTATGATCCAAATTTTTTAAAACTAACACTAATAAGATGATTTATAATATGAGATTCTTATCCCCCTTTCTTGCTCGAAACATTAAATCATTAGATTGATATTTAAATTAATTATATACATTTATTTTTGAAGTATAAAAATGTAATAATATTTGTACCATAAATAATTTATATTTTAATATATAATTTAATCTCAATCATTTTATTATCGTTATTAGTTTTCATGTTAATAGAAATCGTTTATCATAATTTAATAGAAATGCATATTATTACAATGCTTGAACTTGAAAAGTTTTTTTATATAAATTTGTGGATGTTTGTATTTAATCCTTTACAATATATAATTTTGATATGATTTTTGTGATGCAAATTAATGAATTCAAATGATGTGAGCATAATTTTATTTATGACATTTGGAAGTTATTGTTTTTATTATATACTTTTTAAGAATTTTAAGATTTAGAATTGGTTTTAAAGTTTGAACCATACTATATATATTGATTTTGCATGGGTGACCCAAAAGCTTAAAGTGTCATTGGAGTTCTTAAATTATTTAAAAATTTATAAAATAAAAATTTTTATAATTATAATTATAATTATTACGTTTAATAGTAAATTTTATAAAATTAAAAAAAATTCATTATTGTAATGACCATAATGATCATAATTATATCCATTATATTCATAATTACAATAAATATGATATGATAAAAAATGCGTCTATGATCATAATTTAAATCCTTAATAAGAAGATAAAAATTAATAAAATTATATTAAAAAGTAAGAAGTTGATTCCACCATTTGTCAATTGTTGATGATGAAAAAAAAAAAAATTAACCAGCTACTTAACTTTCACGAAACATAGCAAATGTTATCTTATAGTTATTTCTCTGGTCAAATTTGTTAGGGAGCCAAAATTTACTTGAGTGTATTTGAGTTAATTATCAAAATAATAATGTGGTTATCTTTAACTGTTTTGCCTAGTAGCCAAACAAACTTTAAAAAGATATAAAGCTAGGGTTTTACCCTAGCCTTCTTCCCTCCTCTCTTGTTGTAAAGCTTTATCCCTTGAACCAAAAAAAAAAAAAATGATAGTGTGGTCAAATCTTTCACAAATTTCAACATTCCACAATCATATCAACCATTAAATAAGATTACTTCACTATGTTCATAAAAGGTAGAGTTCAAGTGTATACTAAAATGACAAAAGTACTATAACACCCTCTATTAATTTTATTGTCGTTGAGTTGCCTGAAGTGATACTCAAATTTATAAAACAAAATAAAATAATGCATATTTTAGACAATATGATGGTAAGAACAAATCTTTGGAGAAATCGAAATATAATTAGCCAGTTAAAATTATTTATTGAAACATAAATAAAAGCAACATAAAGTGTTTTATACAATCCTTTAGAGGTGTTTGATTTGGAAAAAAAAAAGATTCTTGATTAGAATCTTATTTTTTATAATTTGATTTTTTTTATTTAATTTACATAATATAATTCTTGAGATTTTTTAAAATTTTTTACAATGTTGAAAAGAAAAAAAAAAGAATTCAAAAACTCTTTTTTTCCTTTAGTTCTTTTTAGATTTCAAAAGAAAAATGAAATTTTTTATTAAAAATATTTTCAAAATAATGAAAATATGATTAAATATAAAATTTAATCAAAAAAATTATGTTGAGCTAAAATATAGGTTAAGAAAAGTTCTTATAGTGAAATTGATATAATTCTATAATAGAAAAAGTCAAATAAAAAAATTGCTTTATATGAAGAATTGCAAATTTTCAGAAATGTAAATAATTATTTTTCTTTGTGTGAAAAGTTTAACTATTCAAATGAACAAATATATCTATAATATTTCAAAAAGACATATTTTTAACTAAAAAAAAGTGATCTTTGATTGAAACAATATAATTAAAGAGTCACAATCTAAAATTAAATATCTATAAATAGAAATTGATGTGGGTTCATTTGAAAACAATTTCATTCTAAATTACACATTTCCTTTTCCCAACTTTCTCTTAGAAGGCTAGTTGCTTTAGCATGTATCTTGAAGGTTATTCAATTCAACCTCTCTTGCATATCATAATTGGTGGGGTGAAATAAGTTTTTAAAAAAGTGGTAATTGCAGTATGCCTTGAAGCCATTTCTTTTCATGATTAAAGGTTCCATTACATTACAAAATGGTTACAAGGAGACTACAAAAAGATCATATCAAGTTTGTATTATTTGGTGTTCTTAGCCTTGTGATTTTTTCTAACCTTTTCTTTTTTCATTTTCCTTAACTTAATCGCATTTTTAAACTACATAGATAATGATATTTATTTTAGAAACATAATAATTTTATAAGCTAAAATAATTATAAAAAAAAAACCTCTAAACTTTACTTTGCATTCAAATAAATCCATAAACTTTAATTTGTATTCAAATAAGCCATTATCCTTTAATTTATACTTGAATAAACCCTTAACATAAATTAATCTTTTTGTTTGAAACAAAATCATACTTGGATACAAATTAAAAAAAAATAAGGCTTTATTTGAATATGATAAAAGTATATGAGTTTATCTAAATAAAATGATAAAGTTAAAAGGCTTTTTTAGTATTTTAGCCTAATTTTATATTTTGTTTTTTTATAGTTTCGACAATGATGATTTTTTTAAAATAAAAAATGTGATCTTTATTAAGAATATGTAAAAAATTATTTTTTAAAATTTAACAAAAAAGATGTTTCTAAGATAAAAATGTAGTTTTCGTTGAATGTAAGAAAAAAGTTATTTTTCAAAATGCATCAAAGATGACATTTTAAAAATAAAACGCGTCTTTGTTGAAAATTAAAAAAAAATTAGAATTTAATAAACATGATGTTTTTAAGATAAAAATAGTTTTTTTTTTAATTTTAAAAAATTTATTTTTCAAAATTCTTGACTTTCAATGAAAATAATGTGTTATTCACGTGTTACGTGTTATTTACATGTCACGTATTATAAATATCACATGTCATCAAAAACAATTGTAAGTAATCTTATATTCCTCAAAACCAAATACAAGAATCTTACATTTCCTGAGTCAACAAAACCTAAAAATCACATATTCTCCTTCAATTTCACTTTCCCTAAAATCACTTTCTCTTCCAAAATCTAAGAATCTATAAGCAAACTCTTCCTAATTGTTTTCTCACAATTTTTTTATGTGATACATCTTTTTTTTTATATTATTTTTGTCATAACGTTTAGATCCATGGATCTACTAATAGAATAGATTTATGGAGTTGCCACCAATATTTTTTTTGTTTAGGTATTATTAGCTACCTAACTGAATTTGTTCTATTTAAAGAGAAGTCTCAAGATTAACTTAGGTATATCTAAATAGTAGATTTTAGCTTACAAAATCAAATTTTAGGTTCGAGAATGCAATTACACATAAGAAATATTATAGTACTCTTACAACGCCCATCCAAAAGATGGTACCAATTTGATTTCAAATTATCCAAGCCATAAAGTCTCTTTATAATTTTATCAAAAAATTTAATTATCAAAAATTAAACTTAAAATTACTCCAAAAGT